AAAAAAAATACAAAAATCAGCCGAGTGTGGTGGTGCATACCTGTAATCCCAGCTACTCAGGAGGCTGAGGCAGGAGAATCGCTTGAACCTGGGAGGTGGAGATTGCAGTGAGCCGAGATTGTGCCATTGCACTCCAGCCTGAGCGACAAAAGCGAAACTCTGTCTCAAAAAAAAATAAATAAATAAAAATAAAAAAATAAAAGTAATCTGTTCATGTCAGTGTCCCTTTTCCAGAGCATCTTCCATTGTTTAGGAGATACTGCTTAGGACATTGGCATCTGCTGAGGCAGACATTCTAGCAGGTTTCGTGTTTATGTAATGTTGCCTTTTCTTTTTTTTTTTTCTGTTTTTGAGACGGAGTCTTGCTCTGTCGCCCAGACTGGAGTGCAGTGACGTGGTCTCAGCTCACTGCAACCTCCGCCTCCTAGGTTCAGGTGATTCTCCTGCCTTAGCCTCCCCAGTAGCTGGGATTACAGGCACATACCACCATGCGCAGCTGAGTTTTGTATTTTTAGTAGAGACAGAGTTTCACCATGTTGCCCAGGATGGTCTCTATCTCCTGACCTCATGATCCACCTGCCTCAGCCTCCCAGTGTGCTGGGATTACAGGTGTGAGCCACTGCGCCTGGCCCTTACAACTTTTTAACTTATTCCCATTGGCTTGAAATGGCATGTCTTTTATACTTGTATACCATCTCCCATAGCCCTCTGGTCTTTTATTTATTTATATATTTTATTTTTATTTTTATTTTTTAAGACAGAGTCTCCCTCTGTCACCCAGGCTGGAGTACAGTGGTGCAATCTCGGCTCACTGCAGCCTCACCTCCTGGGTTCCAGTGATTCTCTTGTCTCAGCCTCCCAGGTAGCTGGGACTACAGGTGCGATCTCGGCTCACTGCAACCTCTGCCTCCCAGGTTCAAGTGATTCTTCTGCCTCAGCCTCCCCAGTGGCTGGGATTATAGGCATGTGCCACCACGCCCAGCTAATTTTTATATTTTTAGTTGAGATGGGTTTCACCAAGTTGGCCAGGCTGGTCTTGAACTCCTGACCTCAAGTGATCCACCCGCCTCAGCCTCCCAAAGTGGTGGGATTACAAGCGTGAACCACTTCCCAGACCCAAATTGTACTTCTATAAAATGAACAAGAACTTGAAAATTCTAGGCTGGGCGTAGTGGCTCATGCCTGTAATCCCAGCACTTTGGGAGGCTGAGGCGGGTGGATTCCTTGAACTCAGGGGTTGGAGACCAGCCTGGGCAAGATGGCAAAACCATGTCTCTACAAAAAATACAAACAAAAAAAAGTTAGGCCAGGAGCGGTGGCTCACGCCTGTAATCCCGGCACTTTTGGAGGCTGAGGCAGGCAGATCACAAAGTCAGGAGTTTGAGACCAGCATGGCCAATATGGCGAAACCCTGTCTCTACTAAAAATGCAAAAATTAGCCAGGCCTGGTGGCGAGCACCTGTAGTCCGAGCTACTCAGGAGGCTGAGGCAGGAGAATTTCTTGAACTTGGGAGGCAGAGGTTGCAGCGAGCTGAGATTGCACCATTGCACTCCAGCCTGGGGGAAAAAAAAAAAAAAAAAATTGGGAATGATAGTAAGAGGAAGATTAAAAAATGGAAAAAAATAATTTAGTACAAAACAGCAAAACCATATAATTTCTTTTTTTTTTTTTTGAGACAGAGTCTCACTCTGTCACCCAGGCTGGAGTGCAATGGCGCAATCTTGCCTCACCACAACCTCCGCCTCCTTCAAGCAATTCTCCTGCCTCAGCCTCCCAAGTAGCTGGGACTATAGGTATGTGCCACCATGCCCAGCTAATTTTTGTATTTTTAGTAGAGAACGGGTTTCACCATGTTGGCCAGACTGGTCTCAAACTCCTGACCTCAAATGATCCACCCGCCTTGGCCTCCCAAAGTGCTGGAATTACATGCATGAGCCACCGCACGCGGCCAAAACCATGTGATTTCAAAGCAATGGTTAGCAGGGGGTTATAATGCAGAAATTATACATATAAACACACCTATAGTCATGTGCCACATAACGAAGTTTTGGTTAACGATGAACTGCATAGATGGTGACAGTGGTCCCATTAGGTTGTGTATAATAGAGCTCAAAAATTCGTATCACCTAGTGACATTGTAGATGTCATAGGCATTGTAACATTGTAGTGCAATGCATTACCTTGTCTATGTTTAGATATGTTAGATATGTTAGATACACAATATTTACCATTGTGTCACAGTTGCATGTCACATGCTGTACAGGTTTGTAGGGTAGGAACAATAGGCTACACCATATATCCTAGGCATATTCCTTTTTTGCAGAGGTTGGCTAAGGTAATAGTAATCGGTAAGATTAAGGGGATTAGGACTGTTATAGCAGTGGAAGAATACATGTTTGTTACTTTTATTTGGAGTTGCACCAATGTTTTTGGTTCCTAAGTCCAGTGGATGACTCTAATCCTTTAAAAGTTGAGAAAGCCATGTTGTTAGACAAGGGGGCATGAGTTAGGGTAGGTAAGAAGTTGCAGGCTAGAGCCTAGGCTCTACCATCTAGGTTTGTGTAAGTCACACAAGGATGAAATCACCTAATGATTCATTTCTCAGAACATATCCCCATTGTTAAGCAACATACGACTGTATATATACATACACACACTAATACCTATATGTATATGTAGACATACATATACATAAGGGTTTGAAATATGATGTTCTCTCAGTAATTTTAGAAAACGATGTTGGGGCCAGGCGTGGTGGCTCACATCTGTAATCTCAGCACTTTGGGAGGCCGAGGCGGGCGGATCACGAGGTCAGGAGATCGACACCATCCTGGCTAACACGGTGAAACCCCATCTCTACTAAAAATACAAAAAATTAGCCAGATGTGGTAGCGGGTGCCTGTAGTCCCAGCTACTTGGGAGGCTGAGTCAGGAGAATGGCATGAACCTGGAGGGCGGAGCTTGCAGTAAGCCAAGATCGTGCCACTGCACTACAGCTTGGGAGACAGAGCGAGACTCCGTCTCAAAACAAACACACAAACAAAAAAAGAAAACAATGTTGATTTTACTGAAGAGCTTGAAACCCATCACTAGCCAGCATTTATGGATGCCTGTTTGTAAAGCACTTGCATTGTACAGGTTCTCATAGGCTGAAGTGACTGGTGTTTGCAAACAAAGGAGAAAAGTAAATTATCCTTTAGTGATATCCTTTCTCTTCTCGATGCTTGTGAAATTTGAAAGTTTTCCCTTTGGGGACATTCTGTGTCTTTTTCTTGTGGTTTGTGCAGAGAAAGGTGAACTCTGAAATGAGTCTACTTTTAATGTTTTCCAGCAGCACCAGATGAAGACAGTACAACCAATATAACAAAAAAGCAGGTAATTTAAAATTCTCTTTTCTGATACTGGTTATGTGGGTAGAGCAGAGGTAAAATAAGCCCCATGTCTCATAGGCATAGACTGCTTATGTACCCAGTAAAAACCTTTTTTTGAGATTTTTCAGATAATCCAAACTAAGTTAAAGTAATAGTCATCTTCTGGAAGAAAAGCCTAGGAGGACAGAGGACACATTTTCCGGATCATGAATGATGTAGATATGTTTGCAGTTTGGAATGCAGAAATGATTGTTACTTGAGGATCAAATGGCAGGACATCGAGAATTCCTCAATGTCCAGATCCACAGTGCTCGTATCCTGTCCATTCCATGTTTTAAAAACATAAGCCGTGCTTTCAGGTTCAGATGATTCTCCTGGGATTCTTGAGTTTACCTTATCACTACACTGGAGAAAATGTAAGTAAGTGGAGAGGAAAGGTGGTGATAAATCTTTTGGTTTTCTTTTGCAGAAGTGGACTGTAGAAGAAAGCGAGTGGGTCAAGGCTGGAGTGCAGAAATATGGGGAAGGAAACTGGGCTGCCATTTCTAAAAATTACCCATTTGTTAACCGAACAGCTGTGATGATTAAGGATCGCTGGCGGACCATGAAAAGACTTGGCATGAACTGAAACAGGCTTTCATTTCCACAGAATTCACAGGAGCATGGTTCCTAATAATAGCCCCTGATAGTCTGCTGTTTCTTTCAGAAGCTGGGCTGGGATGAGAATTTTGGGCAACCTCCTTCGATGTGGGGGAGGTCCCAGTTCCACTTCATCACTGTTGGAGATCATGGAGCTAAGAAGCAGAGCCAAGTCCACCCATGTCCTTGGCAGAGATGACAGGCACAGAGCTTGTGCAGTGCCAGAATATCATTAGTGTTTCCCTTCTTTAGTGGTTTGCTTAAATTTAAATCCCTGGTAATCTGTAGAACCTTCTCCTAGGAAATGGTGAAGTCTATTAGGAGCCACTTGTGACTCCATGACCTGTTAAAACCAGCAATGTGAGTATTATTTGGAGTAAATTTTTTCCACGTCAAGTTCTGGCCTTCTGATGGCAAATGCAAAGGAACTTAGTCTGTTATGAACCCAGGTTGATGAGAGACCAGTCCTTGTGGAATAAGATTCCCTTTAAAAACTCTTTAGCCAGTTGTGACATCAACCCTAGACCTGTCTGCCTTGGCATTTGCTCTCAACGTCTGCTGGGCTATGTAGGCAGGTTTATCCTCCACTTCTTATGTGGTTGAACCAGTGTGTTTTTTGGTAAAATGGTGATTGTAGATAAGCTTAGTTCCCCCACCCCCTGCCCCCTGTCCCCTGCCTCTTTTCCCAATGCCCTTCCTTATGCTGGACTTTTAAAGCTTAAAAAAAAATCCTGATTGAATATAAATGCCTAATTTCATTCTTTGTGAAATGGTTGCTTCCTTCTAATTCCCTAATTGTGCTGTGTTCGTGTCTTGCACTGGAATTCAACATTCCCTTCTCCTTTTGTACTGTGTTGTGCTTGCTGTCTCTCCCGGACACCCTTAAAGACTGTCTTTTTAGCAAAAAATTTCAGTAAAGTGTTTTCTGTAATCTTTTTTTAAAAGATGAGAACTAATTATTGTCCATACTTGTAGCATTCTTCATTAAAGTCTTGCTTCTCTCAACTGTAAGTAGCTGTTTAATTGCAGCACAGCATGTATTCACAGAGGGAGGTAGCAAAATGTTGAACAAACTTTGCTGAACTATTTTGATCAAGAAGCTGATGTCAGACTGTGTTGAATGTTTTAATCCTTGGAAGCTATGTCAAACAGATGATGTGGAAGTTTCCTCTTAACCTGTCAGTTTCCTCATATATCATTTCTGGGGACAAAAGAATTCCCCCTTTCTCACTTCTGAGTGAGTGAAAGGCAAAGTTTAAAAAGAAATGCCAAAGTTTTAAAATTCATCCATTAGGCCAGGCATGGTGGCTAATGCCTGTAATCCCAGCACTCTGGGAGGTGGAGGCAGGAGGATCATTTGAGGTCAGAAGTTCGAGACCAGCCTGGCCAACACAGTGAAACCCTATCTGTACTAAAAATACAAAAATTAGCTGGGTGTGGTGGTGGGCTCCTGTAATCCCAGCTATTCAGGAGGCTGAGGCAGGAGAATCGCTTGAATTCGGGAGGTGGAGTTTGCAATGAGCCAAGATCTTGCCACTGCACTCCAGCCTGGGCAACAGAGTGAGACTCTATCTCAAAACAAAACAAAACTGGCTGGGAGCCGTGGCTTACCCCTGTAATCCCAGCATTTTGGGAGGCCAAGAAGGGTAGGATCACCTGAGGTCAGGAATTCAAGACCAGCCTGGCCAACATGGTGAAACCCTATCTCTACTAAAAATACAAAAACTTAGCCAGCCATGGTGGCGGGCGCCTGTAATCCCAGCCTCTCGGGAGGCTGAGGCAGGAGAATTGCTTAAACCTGGGAGGCGGAGGTTGTGATGAGTCGAGATGATGCCATTGCACTCCAGCCTGAGCAAAAAGAGTGAAACTTCTCAAAAAAAAAAAAAAAATTTTTTTTAATTTAAAAATGTAAAAAATACAAAATTAGCCGGGCATGGTGGCAGGCGCCTGTAGTCCCAGCTACCCGGGAGGCTGAGGCAGGAAAATCACTTGAACTTGGGAGGTGGAGGTTGCTGTGAGCCAAAATTGCACCAGTGCACTCCAGCCTGGACGATAGAGTGAGACTCCATCTCAAAAAAAATTTAAAAAAATTTTCATCCATTAGTTATAAGTGGGAATCTTCATACAGCTTCATTACCTATTAACTGCATTTTGGGGTTTAGTACCTATTGTTCTTCTGTCAACCAACCCCAACTGAAACCACAGGGAGAAGTTGAGAACTTGAGTTCCTTTTGGGCCAGCTGCCTTCTGCCTGCCGCTGGTTTGGTCTCCCTCTGAACCGGATTAGAATCCAGAAGCTTTTCTCCCCTTAACTCTCACGTGATTCAATGGCGCTCTCCAGGTAGAAGAGTGAAACTGATGCATTTAGGGAAACAAAAGATCCTAATCAGTGTTTCTTTATTTCATTTTATTTTTTATTTTTTTTGAAATGGAGTCTCACTCTGTCACCCAGGCTGGAGTGCAGTGGCGCGATCTTGGCTCACTGCAAGCTCTGCCTCCCAGGTTCACACCATTCTCCTGGCTCAGCCTCCCAAGTAGCTGGGACTACAGGCGCCCGCCACCAAGCCCGGCCAATTTTTTCTATTTTTAATGGAGACGGGGTTTCACTGTGTTAGCCAGGATGGTCTCGATCTCCTGACCTCGTGATCTGCCCGCCTCGGCCTCCCAGAGTGCTGGGATTACAGGCGAGAGCCACTGTGCCCGGTATCAGTGTTTCTTAAACTTGAGAATGCCTATGTTCGTTAATATTTTTTCACAGAATTCAGTGTTGTTTTTATTATAGTTACTGAAATGTGTACAAAGATAAAACTATGCTTACAGCTTCTGTAGAACTATGAAACTTACTATGAACTGACGATTGTTTCGCCGAAACCAAGTCACTGCTTATGACATGACCAGTGCTAGGACTGTGATGGTGGTGCGACTCGGGTGGGGGGTGCCTGTGCCACGTGTGCTGATAGAAGTTCCCAGACTCTTCTACCTGTCACTTGGGCGAGACTGCCACAGAGCCACTGTGCTCCCAGAGTGCTGGGATGTCATCTGGCTTTTGCTAGAACTGAACCACACATATAGAGTCTGTTTTCTGCTTAATTAGCTTGTGACACTTTGAGTCAATGCAAATAATTGCTGGAAGGTGTTGATGCTGTTTGTTTTTTGTTTTTCAAGATTATGACCAAGGCTAGGCGCAGTGGCTCACACCTGTAATCCTAGCACTTCGGGAGGCCAAGGCATGGGGATCACTTGAGCCCAGGAGTTTGAGACCAACCTAGGCAACATGGCAAAACCTTGTCTCTACAAACAATACAAAAATCAGCCAGGTGTGGTGGTGCACTCCTGTGGGTCCAGCTACTCAGGAGGCTGAGGTGGGAGGATCATTTGAGCTCAAGAGGGTGAGGCTGCAGTGTCTGTGCCACTACACTCCAGCCTGGAAGACAGAGTGATGCCATCTCAAGGAAGCAAAAAATATAGATTATGACTAAAAGCTGTTTAGGCAGTGTCAGAACTCAGAGACTGACAGCTTGAGAATGAGAAACACTGTCCTGCTTGGTGGTTAAGAGCATGAGCCCCCACCGGGGAACCAGCTCTGCCAGGTGTGCTTGTGGGACGGTGAGCCATCACTGGAATCTCTGAATGTCTGTGTCCTCATCTCTAATGCCAGAGCTCACAATACCTCCCTTACAGGACTATTGTGAGAATAAAATAAGATGCAGGTAAATCTTAGCTCAGTGCCTGCCATAAAGGAGGTGGGTGTTGAAATCATGAATAAAAGAATAAAGATTAAGGATGTGAATAATACAATTGTCTTTAAGTGGGTTCTGGATAGCTTTTTCCCCCCATGGGTGCTGAAGAAGACCTGAATAAAAGAAAGATCAAGGCTGGGCGTGGTGGCTCATGCCTGTAATCCCAGCACTCTGAGAGGCCGAGGCGGGCAGATTACTTGGGAGTTCGAGACCAGCGTGGCCAACGTGAAAAAACCCCGTCTCTACTAAAAATTCAAAAATTAGCCAGGCATGGTGGCAGGCACCTATAATTCCAGGTACTCCGGAGGCTGAGGCAGGAGAATTGCTTGAACGAGGTGGAGGTTGTAGCGAGTAGAGATCGTGCCACTGCACTCCAGCCTGGGTGACAAAGCTACACTCTGTCTCAGAAAAAAAAAAAAAAAAAAAAAGGAAAGATTGAGGCTTTGGATAATATAATCATCTTTCGGTGGGTTTGGATAGCTTTAGGTGACTGTTAGGTGGAAGGCATCAGGATGAGCACTGTCAGTGGAGGGGTCTGAGCACCATCCTGGCACTGTATTCATCCACTTACATCTTTGCACACATATGCTGTGATTTGCTCTGAGCTGCAGCACTGGGCAGAGAGAAGTGTTGCCCCATGTGTTTATAGGAGCAATTTGATGTAAGAGAAGAGTCTCCCCAACCAACTTTTTGTCAGTGTATTCAGAAAGTTGTAAACTTACCCAGTATTATATCCCCAAGAAGCAGGAACTAAAAAATGACAGCCCTAAGGAGGGGTGGAGAGACCTCTTCTGAGGTGGTAGACCTATGTAGCACCCATGAAGTAGGTTTGGTAAGCCACTGAGTTTTTGAGGTGAAAGCTAAACTTCCTCCTGCGAGCCAAACATAGGAGTATCATGGCAGTTCTATTATGAATATCTATGTGTGGCCCTGAAATGGGCCTAAACGTGACTTGTGGAGTTAATCATTAGCCCAGCGGTTGTCTGAACGACTTGATTCCCCTGGGCTGCGAGCAGTTCACCTGCAGAGGAGGCTCCAGAAAGCAGCATGTCCCCCTTGCTCTTTGGGGCTGGGCTGGTCGTTCTGAATCTAGTGACGTCTGCCAGGAGCCAGAAGATAGAACGTCTAAGTGGCTCTGGGGACCAGCCACTCTTCCGTGGAGCTGATCGACATGACTTTGCCATCATGATCCCTCCAGGAGGCACGGAATGCTTTTGGCAATTTGCCCACCAGACTGGATACTTCTATTTCAGTTACGAGGTATGTGGGTGACTGGCCATACTGGGGGCTTTTTTTTTCCTCCTTTACTCATAAAGTGGGTCAGGTTTTAGGCCAAAACAAGGTCTGGTTGTCTTTATTATGCTGTGATTCCCCACCTGTTAATGAAATGGACCTGCAGTTAGAGGGAAACTCCAGCTGGGTGAAAAATCATCAACAGGAGCTAAAACATATGGTTTGGTTCTCACCTCAGGGGCCATGCTCAAAGCCATGGGGCAGACGGGGTGCCTCTCCCTGAAGAGGTAATCATTACATGTACTCGGATTTGGGGATGAGAGGAGAGAGAATACACTTTTAATATATTAAAACAAAATGGATAATAGTGCTTTGGAGACTGATCCAGAGATTTCAAAGAAAGCTGCTTCAGTTTATGGGGGTGGGGAAGTGAAGGCTGTGCTGCCTTTAGGAGCAATTCTGGCAAATCAGAGATTCACTAGCTCAAGTTTTCTGTATTCAGCCAGTTAATCCTATTTTTTTTTTTAGGACGGTAAGTGTTTTCAAGTTACCTATTCAAAGGTCAAGTACTTTTATCCATACTGTGGTCTTATACCATGCTGTCCCAGGATGGCGAACTCAATATGAAAGTTAGAGGCTGTTCATTTCGTTTGTTCTTTATCTTAGGAATCTGTTAACTTTCTAATTTTTGTTTACACAGTAATAGACTTTGTTGATCTTACTCCATTCCACTGTAACAACATTTATTTTAAATAAACTTATCAGAGACTTTTCTTACCTTTGAATTTCTATCAGAACAGCAGCCACTACTAAGCTCACTGTGGCCTAGGCTAATCAAGATCTAGCTTGGGAGTGAGTGTCCATGGAGTGCTTGCTGTAGGTGTGCACTGCCAAGCAGCAAATGCCCAAATCTGGGACATCATCAGGGAGCTCAACCACCAAGCAAGTTCATTCAAGAACTCTACAGCCCGGCCGGGTGCGGTGGCTCACACCTGTCATCCCAGCACTTTGGGAAGCTGAGGCAGGCGGACCACCTGAGGTCAGGAGTTCGAGACCACCCTGGCCAATATGGTAAAACCCCATCTCTACTAAAAATACAAAAATTAGCTGGGCTTGGTGGCATGTGCCTGTAATCCCAGCTACTTGGGTGGCTGAGGCGGGAGAATCACTTGCAGTCGGGAGATGGGGGTTGCGGTGAGCCGAGATGGCGCCACTGCACTCTAGCCTGGGTGACAGGGCAAGACTCTGTCTCGAAAAAAGAAAAAAGGAAATTCTACAGCCAGAATCATACTTTTTTTTTTTTAAAGACAGAGTCTTGCTCTGTTGCTCAGGCTGGAGTGCAGTGGCATGATCTCCACTCACCGCAACTCCCGCCTCCCAGGTTCAAGCAATTCCCCTGCCTCAGCCTTCAAAGTAGCTGGGATTACAGGCGCACGCCACCATGCCTGACTAATTTTTGTATTTTTTAAGTAAAGACAGGGTTTCACCATGTTAGCCAGGCTGGTCTCAAACTCTTGACCTTGTGATCTGCCTGCCTCGGCCTCCCAAAGTGCTGGGATTATAGGCATGAGCCACTGCGCTCGGCCCAGAATCATACATTTTAACCGATCCACACCAACTGCGTGGTCCGAGCAAGACATATCTTCTTCACACGGGTGCTGCTGGCATTCTGGGCAGTTCTTTGTCCTGCTGTACTGTTTCCTACATTGCAGACGTTCAGCTATGCTGTGCCGCCTCCCCTTAACACCATCACTGTGACACCTCAGAATCCTCCAATCAGTTCCAAACCCCAGCAGCAGGTTGGGCAGTCCCACCCCAGACAGAGACCACTGTGCTGATGAATGTGGGATGTCAGTCTTACCACTCAGCTGGCTTCCTCATGATGTAGCAGGGGTTCTGCTGCCTACTTAATGTGTCTTGGCAGGTTCAGCGGACGGTGGGGATGTCACATGACCGGCATGTTGCTGCCACGGCACATAACCCACAGGGATTTCTCATAGACACCTCCCAGGATGTTCGGGGCCAGATTAACTTCTCTACCCAAGAAACAGGTCTGTTTTCATTACCATGGCTATTATAATAATCATAGGGTTCTATGAAATTAGAGAAATAATGAGGAAGTATACAAAGATGTTTAAACAGTAGGAAAAAAATTCAGCCTTTAACACCAAAAACCAGTGTTCCTGGAGACTGCTGACCTCCAAGGATGCCAAGTGGCAGTCCACTGACAATTTGGGGACAACACTCCAGGTAAGCATTCTAACTCTAGGGTTCAGCAGCTCAATTTTATCTCTTTATCTCCAGTCGATCAGATTCTGGGAAAGTGACCAAAAAACAGAGACCCATTTATAATACAAATTCCAATTAACAAATGTATTACAGGGAAGTATTTCTTTCCAGTCATCAGAATATTTGAGTCAGTTACTAAAAGCCGACTCAGAACAAAAGAAAATGCATGATATCCATGTGAGATATCCACACTCCACAACAAAGCACTCCTCCAGCCAGGTCAAGCCTGTCCCACTTTGGACAGCACCAGTGTCTTAACTGCCCTCTTTACTAGCCAGCTGCACTAAAAAAGACATTTTCTCAAAAGGGGCATCAGACAGTCCTTCACTATAAAGCACAGGATATGTATGAGTGTTAAAAGATCTTGAACAGGCTGGGCGTGGTGGCTCATACCTGTAATCCCAGCACTTTGGGAGGCCAAGGTGGGCGGATCACCTGAGGTCAGCAGTTCGCGACCAGCCTGCTCAATATGGTGAAACCCCGTCTCTACTAAAAATACAAAAATTAGCTGAGCGTGGTGGCAGGCCACCTGTAATCCCAGCTACCCAGGAGGCTGAGGCAAGAGAATCGCTTGAACTGGGGAGGCAGAGGCTGCAGTGGCCCAAGAGCATGCCATTGCACTCCAGCCTGCGCGACAGAGAGAGACTCTTGTTTCAAAAAAAAAAAAAAAAGATCTTGAACATCTTTGGCCCCTACATGCCAGTAGTGCCTTCCAATCATTCTGACTTTCAAACACTGCCACACCTTTCTAATCCCACCCCACCGCATCTTCCACTGGTCCTCTCCACCCACCGCACACACAAAGGGAAGCAACACCAGCCCCAACAGATATCCCACACCATGAGTCAATGCACAGACGTCTTAGAGGCAATCACTCCAGGAGAGCTGCTTTCATGCACTATGCATCCAATTTTTTTTTTCTTTCCTAATTTCAAGATGGTGTCCCTAGCTCTAATGGTATAAAAGGACCAGGCAAACACCCATGCTCTTAACTCAATCTGTTGAGCAGGAGTTCCTTAATACAAGATGTGGGAATTACATGTTGGAAAAGAGAAAATGTTGTTTGCCACTATCCAGCATGGAAAAGACTAGTTACTAAAATTTGGCCATACAATAAGTAATATTTAGTACGAGTTTAACATAAGGTCCATGTCTTCCGTGTCAAAAACGGGATCTTTGTACTTTCTAAGTAAAAAGAAGGTGCTGTAGAATTCCAAAACTAGAGGACAGACACCTCCAGAGAATCCTTAACAAAGGGGAGGAGACCAAAGACTTGGTAATGATCTAAGAATTCCTACAGGTTTTTATCAGCTTTGTCTAAATAATCAGCATAATCACTTCGGTTCTGTGCAAGTGTACCTCAACTTTGGAGTCTTCTATGAGGGGCCTGAGACTGATCACAAACAGAAGGAAAGAAAACAACTGAACGATACTCTGGATGCAATAGAGGTAAGGAAGTGTTTTGTGGAAGAGAAACATCTGTGGAAACTGATTTTAACTTCAGAGGGAAGATGACTTCATTTAGGTAGAAACCAAACAGGCAAGGGGATGTGAATCTTTTAATAAACTATGACTTGACTGGGCGTGATGGCTCACGCCTATAATCCCAGCACTTTGGGAGGCCGAGGCGGGTGGATCACTTGAGGTCAGGAGTTTGAAACCAGCCTGGCCAACATGGTGAAACCCCGTCTCTACTAAAAATACAAAAATTAGCCGGGCATGGTGGTGGGCACCCGTAGTCCCAGCTACTCGGAAGGTTGAGGCTGGAGAATCGCTTAAACCCCGGAAGGCAGAGGTTGCAGTGAGCCGGGATCGCGCCACTGCACTCCAGCCTCGGATAGAGCCTGTCTCTACTAAAAATACAAAAATTAGCCGGGCACGGTGGTGCGCACCTGTAATCCCAGCTACTCAGAAGGTTGAGGCGGGAGAATCGCTTAAACCCCGGAAGGCAGAGGTTGCAGTGAGCCGAGATCGCGCCACCGCACTCCAGCCTCAGATAGAATGAGTCTGTCTCAAAATAAAATAAAATACATTATGACTTGAAGCTCTTGAAATTCCACCTTCATTTTATACCAAGGGTTGGCAAACTATGTATGGCTCACAGGCCAAATCTGGCCCATTGCCTGTTTTTCTTTAAATTGAGATATAATTTATACACCATCTTAAAGTGTATGTCCGTGGTTTTTTAGTATATTCCCAAGGCTGTGCAACTATCAGCATCTAATCCGGAAGTTTATCACCCACCCACCCCCAAAAATCCCACTACCCATTAGTCATTCTCCGTTCTATTACCCCAGGCCTGCCTATCACTGTTCTACTGTCTCTATAGATTTACCGACTCTGTACTTAATTTCTGAGACAGGGTCTTACTCTTGTTGTCCAGGCTACAGTGTGCAGTGGCTTGATCACAGCTCACCGCAGCCTCAATCTCCTGCACTCAAGCAATCCTCCCACCTCAGCTTACCAAAGTGCTGAGATTACTCAGCATTTTGAGCTACTGTGTCGAGATTAATCAACAATTTGAGCCACTGCGGCTGGCCTCTATAGGCTTTATTTAAATGGAATCACACAGTACATGGGGTTTTGTGACTGGCTTATTTTTATTGTCATTTTTTGAGACGGAGTTTCGCTCTTGTCTAGGCTGGAGTGCAATGGCGCAATTTCAGCTTGCTGCAACCTCTGCCTCCAGGATTCAAGTGATTCTCCTGCCTCAACCTCCTGAGTAGGTGGCATTAACAGCCGCGTGCCACCACGCCCAGCTAATTTTTGTATTTTTAGTAGAGACGGGGTTTCACCATGTTGGTCAGGCTGGTCTTGAACTCTTGACCTTGTGATCCGCCCAGTTCAGCCTCCCAAAGTGCTGGGAATACAGGCGTGAGCCACTGTGCCCTGCCTGAATTGTCTTTTTATTGTTGAATTTTATTTATATATTCTGGATACAAATCCCTTCTAAGATACGTGAGTTGCAGATATTTTCTCCCATTCTGGCAATGTCTTTTCACTTTCTTTTTTCTGAGACGGAGTCTCGCTCTGTCGCCCAGGCTGGAGTGCAGTGGCGTGATCTTGGCTCACTGCAACCTCCGCCTCCCAGGTTCAAGTGATTCTCCTGCCTCGACCTCCTGAGTAGCTGGGACTACAGGTGTGTAACACAATGCCCAGCTAATTTTTGTATTTTTATTTATTTATGTATTTATTTATTGAGACACAGTCTTGCTTTGTCACCCAGGCTGGAGTGCAGTGGCACAATTTTGGCTCACTGCAAACTCCATCTCCCGGGTTCAAGTGATTCTCATGCCTCAGTCTCCCAAGTAGTTGGGATTACAGGCGGGTGCCACCACACCTGGCTAATTTTTGAATTTTTAGTGGAGATGGGGGTCTCACCATGTTGGCCAGGCTTGTCTTGAACTCCTGACTTCAGGTGATTGCCCAACTTGGCCTCCCAAAGTGCTAAGATTACAAGAATGAGCCACTGCGCCCAGCTATTCTTCACTTTCTTTTCTTTTTTTTCTTTTTTATTTTTTTGAGACAGAGTCTCGCTCTGCCGCCCAGGCTGGAGTACAGTGGCACGATCTCGGCTCACTGCAACCTCTGCCTCCCGAGCTCAAACAATTCTCCTGCCTCAGCCTCCGGAGTAGCTGGAATTACAGGCATGTGCCACCACACCCGGCTAATTTTTGTATTTTTAGTAGAGACGGGGTTTCACCATGTTGGCCAGGCTGATCTCAAACGCCTGACCTCAGGTAACCCGCCCACCTCGGCCTCCCAAAGTGTTGGGATTACAGGCGTGAGCCACTGCGCATGGCCCACTTTTCACTTTCTTAGTCTCTCCTAAATGCACAAAAACTCACTGCCTGTTTTTGTAAATGGAAGTTTTCTTGAAACACAGCCATGCTCATTTGACAATTACATATTGTCTGTGGCTGCTTTTGTACTACAGTGGCAGAGTTCAGCAGTCACAAGGGCCTGCAAAGCCAGAAATATTTACCATCTGGCCTTAGAGTCCACAGGCTCTTGTCTTCTACCATATACAGAGAATATAAAACATCACCTGGAATGGTAACAACATGCTGAGTACATCTAGATCTAGAGGTCCTCTGGAAGAGCTCTCTAGTTTGAGAACTGAAGTTTTCCATTATTTAAAAATAAAACAAAAGAAAAGGCCGGGGCAGTGGCTCATGTCTGTAACCCCAACACTTTGGGAGGCCAGTGTGGGTGGATCTCTTGAGCCCAGGAGTTCGAGATGAGCCTGGGCAACATGGCAAAACCCTGTCTCTACAAAACAAAGCAAAAAAATACAAAAATTAGTCAGATGTGGTGGCACGTGCCTGTAGTCCCAGCTACTAGGGAGGCCGAGGTGGGAAGATCGCTTCAGCGCAGAAGGTTGAGGCTGCAGTGAGCTGTGACTGCGCCACTGTACTCCCGCCTGGGCAAACAAGTGAGACCCTGTCTCGAGAAACAAAAACAAAAATTGCAAACTCAAGTCCAGATCATATTTCATACATAGCACACACAACATTTATCAACAACTGTAATAGTATTGTACATCTTAAAATTGTATGGGTACATTATTTGACTTCCAGGTAGGTTAGTGCTGGTGAGCACCCAGGTGAGGCTAGATGGGGGTTTGGAAGAATCCCTTTTAAAATTTTCTCTCATAGGACAGCACACAAAAGGTGCAGAACAATATCTTTCACATGTGGCGATACTACAACTTTGCCCGGATGAGGAAAATGGCTGACTTTTTCCTTACCCATTCAAACTATAACTACGTGAACTGGTGGTCGACAGCCCAGAGCCTCGTTATTATTCTTTCTGGAATCCTGCAACTGTATTTCTTGAAGCGTCTCTTCAATGTGCCAACAACTACAGACACAAAGAAGCCAAGATGCTAAGCTAAGGTGACTATAGCACCCTGGCTCTTTTCTTCTGGGGCTTAGTCGAAATCAGCTTTGTAATGTTATGGGACAAAAATCAATCTATCTCATTAATGTTTTAGTCTGCTGTACACATCTAAAAAAGCAAAATGGCAATAAAATAATAATGAAAAAGTTCTGAAGAAGTATTAAATGTATGCATCAAAATACTGTTCATCATATAGCAGTCCCTTAGCCTTCACTGAGTCTACTTAGAGGTTAACAGAAAATCTTAGAAGGAAGACGAGTTGAAAAAGGCCACAATCAAGTTTGCTTACATATAAAAGCAGGAGTCAGTAATGTTTTATTCTTAAAGACTTCACCTTTGGAACTTAAAATAAGCAGTATATTCATTAAAGAAACAGTTTGGTTTTGCAATACAGGAAGTCTTTACATTTTTTGTCTATAAAATGTTACTAAAGAAATATTCTAACGATCTTAAAATAACTTTGGGAGGCACGGGGAGGACAAAGGGACTGAATTTTTATGTCGCGGTCTTTGATCAGTGCTTTTAGTTCAATCCAGTCAAGTAAGTAAAGGTTCATAGAAAAAATTATGTTTTATAAAATCATAGTGATGAAAAAAAATTCCAGCTTAGGATCATCCCATCCAAGAAAAATACTGAGAAAACAGCTTGTAAAAAAGAAGGTAATATAATCAAATTATACTCATAAAACTCTACACTTAATAACAGGAATACATAATATATATAATATAAAAATAATTCTTACCATTTATTCCACACCTGTCGTTTCCCAGGCACTGTACACCGTACTAGATGCTTTACAATCAGACGGAGTCTCACTCTGTCACCCAGGCTGGAATGCAATGGCACCATCTCGGCTCACTGCAACCTCTGCTTCCCCGGTTCAAGCCATTCTCCTGCCTCAGCCTCCCAAGTAGCTAGGACCACAGCCATGTGCCACCACACCTGGCTAATTTTTTTATATTTAGTAGAGATGGGGTTTCACCATGTTGGCCAGGCTGGTCTCAAACTCCTGACCTCAAGTGATCCATCCACCTTGGCCTCCCAAAGTGCTGGGATTACAGGCGTGAGCCACTGTGTCCAGCCTACAATCATGATTTCTAATTCCAAAAATCAGAATTTCTAATTCTCAGGTAGATGGCCAAAGCTATTTTTTAAGTTTTGTATCTTTTTAAACAGAAGAAAACGAACCTTATTAAAGCTGAATGACTCATTCAAGGCCATACAGCTGGTAGGTGGCAGTAGTGGGGTTTGAATACATTTTTCTTCCATACCACACACCAATTACCGTATAGAAAAATAGCTGAATTGCTCTTATTATTTTAGACAAATTTCATTTTTAAAACCCCACATGTGGTTTATTATTCTGTTATGGAAATATCTATCTTGCATATTAATAAAAAAGACAATCCCTATGTTCTTATCATGAGTTTAAAAAACAAAGTGTTATCACAGATAACAATAAGCTATTCTTGTTCCTAGTTCCAATGATTTTGAACCTGTTTCTCAGAACAAGAAGCCCTCTGATTCAAATATGAAACAGAGTATTCTATTTCATCACAAACACAAAGATCTGAAACCCCATTTTTGAGCTCTCTCTGTATATAATAAGAATCCAGCCTGCATTTGTCAATGATAGAGAGTACAGTAAATAAGAAGTCCCTGAAGAGGTCAGAGTGTTGACAAAATTCAACATGATGATGGAGTCCACACAAACACAGGAAACAAAGCTCGGCCCTTCCATACAGCCGCCTGTCCTTGCAATGACTTCGTTTTAAGTCAACGTCTCTTCATGCCGCACATATTCCCCAACGTCTGCCTGATGAAATACCACAATCGCCATGGGGTCTACTTTTCTGCAGTCTTGTGTAGATTTTGCTGCCACCCCAAAACCCTGGGATTCAAAAGAAAAGACATTAACTCACTGAAGTCATTCAATATACCCATATTGAGGGCTGGAAATAACAAAGACGGAAAAAATACAGTTCTGGTCTTTCTGGGATTCAAAAGGTGCTGCGAATTTATTCTCTCAATCACCCAGATTGAAAACATATCCTTCTTGAATAAAAGAGTACTTGAGTTCTGTAATAGCTGCCATCTCTACTCACCAAAGGGATGTCTGCCATGGAGTACACCACCACGCCCTGGTACTGAGAAGTATTTTCAGTGATTCGACCCAGACCAGATTTCAACACATGGTTCCCATACAGGAACGACTGCTCTGCACCAGGCTTTATCCACACTTTATACTGTAAGAGAATTAAAATCCAAGAGACACAAAAACGTTACTATTTCTATCCATGCAGACAAACTAGCTGCTGGATCTGTGAATAATTTTCTGAAATAATTTTAGGGGAAACAGAAAGAGGCTCATGTTTTCCTCGAACTGTCCATCTCCTGAACAGAAATGCAGGAAGTTACCCAGCGCAGTGGCTCGCGTTTGTAATCCCAGCACTTTGGGAAGCCGAGGCAGGTGGATCACTTGAGGCCAGGAGTTCGAGACCGGCCTGGCCAACACGGCGAAACACTGTGTCTACTAAAAACACACAAAAAAATCAGCCAGGTGTGGTGGCACACACCTGTAACCCCAGCTACTCAGAAGGCTGAGGCACAAGAATCGCTGGAACCTGGAAGGCGGAGGCTGCAGTGAGATCGCACCACTGCACTCTAGCCTGGGCGACAGAGTCAAACTGTCAGGAAGAAAAAGAGAGAGAGAAATGAAAAGAAAGAAAAAGAGCAAGAAAGAAAAAGGAATTTAAAAAAAGAAATGCAAAAAGTTATTTTCTCAACTCTACAGGGATCATCTTCCATGGCCAGGTTAACAGCTCTTTTTCTGGACCCCGGTGTCTTCACTGCTGCCACTAACTTGCTTTCTGATCTCTAGCTGGGTCTGCCTAGGCTTTTCTACTTTGCTGGAGAAAACTAACACTACACAGCCCCACAGCACTCCTATCCCATAGCCCTGACCATGCCCAAGGTGCAAGACCTCTGCACATCTCCATGTGCTGACACTCCTCCAAGCACACTATCAGGAACTCTGTGGGAGAAAAGCTGCCGGACAATCTGCCTAATCCTTGACTTCATCGCCCGTGGCAGAATTGGAAACCACCCCACAAACCTTGGCATAAGGTGCAAGGTAATCCAGGGCTGTGACGTGCAACCGAAACTTGTGGGTTTTAGTGAATTTTCCAAAGCAGGTCCCCAGCGACACCAGCTTGTCCCCGGAGATATTAGCGGCCAGCTTCATAATCTTCTCACTAAAAGGGTAAAGGGGGAGCACCGCTGCGGATGAAGGAGTCTGGTGGGACCCAGGTCTCCCCTCCCCTGGGTCCATGCTGCCTGCCCGGCCCCGCCTCACCTCACATAGTACACCCGGTCGTTGTGCAGACGGAAACAGTAGGTGCCATCGGGCCGGTCCACCAGCAGCTGAAGATTCTCCCCGATACTGAGGGCAAAAAGAGGACTGGAGACCGCGCCCGAACGGACCGGTCTAGGCACCGCGCCCCCACTCCACCCCTAGCCACCACACCCACACACTCCCGCCTCCGGCCCGCGCGCTCCTACTATTTCGCGATCTTCTCAAACATGACACGGGTCTCTTCTTCAGTCAAAGGCCGCATTTTCTCCGTGGGTTGGAACACCGGATCCTCGTGCCTCCGTAAGCGGAAACGGAAGTCGGCCGCTTGCTGCTCCCCGGCAACCCCAAAGCCTTCCTCTCTAGCCCCGTACCAATAGTTCCTCTCGCTAGCGCCCAATAGTCTGGACGACCGCCGGGGAAAGCAAGCCGACTGGATGAGAAAAGATAGAGACCGGAAATGGTCCTGTTTCTTCCTGTCCTAAATTCGGAGTCAGCGCCCCCAGTGGTCCGGAGGGGAAGTGACGTTGTTGCGGGGAAGATGGCTACCGCGGCGACTACCCCATCGTCAGCCACGGCCTCGGCCACGGCCAGGGCCACGGCAGCGGCTCTCGGCGAGGTGGAGGATGAAGGGCTCCTGGCGTCGCTGTTCCGGGACCGCTTCCCCGAGGCCCAGTGGCGCGAGCGGCCCGATGTGGGCCGCTACCTCCGGGAGTTGAGCGGCTCGGGGCTGGAGCGGCTGCGGCGCGAGCCCGAGCGCCTGGCGGAGGAGCGGGCGCAGCTGCTGCAGCAGACACGCGACTTGGCCTTCGCCAACTACAAGACCTTCATCCGCGGCGCCGAGTGCACCGAGCGCATCCACCGCCTCTTTGGCGACGTGGAGGCATCGCTCGGCCGCCTGCTCGACCGCTTGCCCAGCTTCCAGCAGAGCTGCAGGTGCGACGCGCCTGGCGCTAAAGGGGTTTTTAACTGTAAAAGCTGACGTTTACGATGGTAGAAATAACTAACACTTATAAAGCGTTTACCACGTTCCAGGCTCTCTGCTGAGCGCCTTATTAATCCATTTAAACCTCACAACAGCCTTCGAGGTAGGTACTGTTATCCCCCCCTTTTTTTTTTCTTTTTTGAGACGGAGTCTCGCCCTGTCGCCAGGTTGGAGTGCAGTGGCGAGATCTCGGCTTGCTGCAACCTACTTCCGCCTCCCGGGTTCAAGCGATTCTCCTGCCTCAGCCTCCTGAGTAGCAGGGACCACAGGGGTGCGCCACCACGCCCAGCTAATTTTTTTTGTATTTTTAGTAGAGACGGGGTTTCAGCATGTTAGCCAGGATGGTCTCCATCTTTTGACCTCGTGATCTGCCCGCCTCGGCCTCCCAAAGCGCTGGGATTACAGGCGTGAGCCGCCGCACCAGCCCTGTTATTTCCATTTTACATATGAGCAAGTCAAGACAGAGATTAATGATGTCTAAGGACACAGCTAGGAGGTTGCGAATTCAGAACTGATGACCCAGGAGCATATCCCTCCCTCGAAGGGCTGTTGTGGGCACTAAAGAAAAAGGATTCATGCAAAGCTCTTATTATCGGGTCTGACATAGTTAACATTATAGGTGTGAGCTGAATATATGTGTACATTTGTGTACTTATTTTATACGAAAGCTTGGACCAGAGGTCATCTGCTTCAAAACTTCCATTGACGGGAAGCCGACAAGGAAATCCTCCCATTTGAGGGCATCAGATATCAAAACGCCTCTCCTTTTGGACGTCTGGATGCGGTGGCTGAGCCTGTACTCCCAGCACTTTGGGAGCCTGAGACTTGAGCCCAGGAGTTCAAGAGCAGCCTGACCAACATAGCAAAACCCTGTCTCTACAAAATAAAAAATTAGCTGGGCGTGGTGGCGTGCGCCTGTAGTCCCAGCTATACAGGAGGTTGAGGTGGGAGGGTCAGTTGGGCCCGATTGTGCCACCGCACTCCAGTTTGGGAGGTCGAGGCTGCAGTGGGCTGTGATTGTGCCACTGCATTCCAGACTGGGTGACAGAGTGAAACTCTGTCTTAAAAAAAAAAAAAGCCCGGTTGCGTTGGCTCATGCCTGTAATCCCAGCACTTTGAGAGGCCAAGGCAGGCAGATCACGAGGTCAAGAGATCGAGGCCATCCTGGCCAACATGCTGAAACCCCATCTCTACTAAAAATACAACAGTTAGCTGGGTGTGGTGGCGAGCACTTGTAATCCCAGCTACTTGGGAGGCTGAGGCAGGAGAATTACTTGAACCTGGGAGGCGGAGGTTGCAGTGAGCCAAGATGGTGCATGCCAGAGCACTGCAGCCTGGTGACAGAGCAAGACTCCGTCTCAAAAAAAAAAAAGTCCTTTGTGAGTCATATTCTGTCTCCATAGATCCTCAGTCCATTATCCTTAGTTCTGCCTTCCAGCCTTTCATGATTAAAGTTTAATTTTTCTTTTGAGCCTTTTGATATCTGACAGCAGCTTTTGTACCCTTCCATGCTCCAGAGTAGACAAGGGACTTGATAAAGCAGGTCTCTGCAAATATAGAGAAGTGTTGAAAGTAGACTGTGGCAGGAGCTATGGTTGAACATTAGCACAGGAGAAGATGAAGACCTGAGGGAATATGGGGAAAGGTTGTGGATTCTAGGCTAGTTAGTGCTTCACTATGAAAATAATGATAGCTATTGTTAAATATTTAACTCTGTGTCTTTTACTATTTTTACTCTGATGCATTTGCTCTGTTTCAAGTTCTGTGTTAAATGCTTCCCACGCATCATCTCATTTCTTACATCCTTGTGAGGAGGGTCCTATGTACTTTTTTTTTTTTTCCGAGATGGAGTCTTGCTCTGTTGGCCAGGCTGGAGTACAGTGGCGCCATCTCTGTTCACTGCAACCTCCACCTCCTGGGTTCAAGTGATTCTCCTACTCAGCTTCCCGAGTAGCTGGGACTACAGGCACGCGCCACCACGCCTGGCTAATTTTTTGTATTTTTAGTAGAGATGGGGTTTCACTTGAACCCCTGGCCTCAAGTGATCCGCCTGTCTCGGCCTCCCAAAGTGCTGGGATTACAGGCATGAGCCACCGCGCCTGGCCCTATAGACTGTTTTACCAATGAGGAAATAGGTTCAGAGAGGCCAAGTACCTTGCCACAGCCAGCCAGTGGCATATCTGGATTTCTGTCTGTTAGACTTATTAATTGTATGTTTTTGGACAAGTTGCTTAACCTCTCTGGGATTAAAAATTTCCTCAATTGTAATAATGCTTACCTTATAGGTGGGGTGTGAGGAATAAATCAGATAGATCATCCAGCCCAATGTTCATAGCAGGTGCTTGGTAACTGTTGCTAAGGTTTGGGTACAGAGCAGTGAAGGACCAACATTCTCCTGATTATTACTAGGAACTTTGTGAAGGAGGCCGAGGAGATCAGCTCCAACCGTCGGATGAATAGTCTGACCCTAAACCGGCACACAGAAATTTTGGAAATACTGGAGATTCCTCAGCTCATGGACACCTGTGTCCGGAACAGTTATTATGAAGAGGCCCTGGAGCTTGCAGCCTATGTACGCCGACTGGAGAGGAAATACTCTTCCATCCCTGTCATCCAGGTAGCCAACTTACCCAGAGAGGACTCAAAGTAATGTTCTTGTAATCATTTATTCTGTGGTCAGGACTGAAGCTTTAGGTAGAAACCCTTGCATGTTTCATATCAGTTTCTGAAAACATTCATTTATTCAAAATACATATTAATCACGTGCCAAGCACTGCTCTATATGCTGGGGATACATTGTGAATAAAGTGGTCCTGGCTCTCATGCAGCTTACGTGCTAATGGGAAGTCTGATAATTGACAAAGAAATAAATGATATCATTTCAGATAGTGGTGTCTGATTAAAAAAACAAAATGGGGAATGGGGTAGAGGGAGTCTAGGGTAGGTTTCTTTAGGTAGGGTGATCAAGACAGACTCTTCTGGGGAGGTAACACTTAAGCTGAGACCTAAGTGAGAAGAAGGAGCCAGTCCACAAAGATCTGAGGAGAGAGCAAACCAGAAAGTGTGAAGAACAAGTGGGGAGGGCTGAAGTGGGCAGAAATTGAGGTATTTAAGGGATACAGAGGCAGCCAGAGTTAATGGATTGTAGCAGTGGGAGAGCATAAGGAAGCAGGTGAAGATGGAGAACCAGGTAAGGCCACCAGTATAAGTCCCAATGAGTGGTTGGAATTTTCTCGATTGCAGTGGGAAGTCACTGGAGGGTTTTAAGCTTTTTTTTTTTTTTTGAGACAGAGTTGCTCTGTCGCCCAGGCTGGAGTGCAGTGGCGCGACCTCGGCTCGCTGCAACCAACATTTATCTCCCAGGTTCAGGTGATTCTCCTGCCTCTGCCTCCCGAGTAACTGGGATTACAGGCCTGCGCCACCACACCCACCTACTTTTTGTATTTTTATTTTATTTTATTTTTTTTTTTTTTGAGACGGAGTCTCACTGTGTCGCCCAGGCTGGAGTGTAGTGGCCGGATCTCGGCTCACTGCAAGCTCCCCCTCCCCGGTTTACGCCATTCTCCTGCCTCAGCCTCCTGAGTAGCTGGGACTACGGGCGCCCACCACCTCGCCCAGCTAGTTTTTTTGTATTTTTTTAGTAGAGATGGGGTTTCACCATGTTAGCCAGGATGGTCTCAATCTCCTGACCTCGTGATCCGCCCGCCTTGGCCTCCCAAAGTGCTGGGATTACAGGCTTGAGCCACCGCGCCCGGCCTTACTTTTTGTATTTTTAGTAGAGACGGGGTTTCACCATGTTGGCCAGACTGGTCTCAAACTCCTGACCTCAAGTGATCCGCCTGCCCACGGTGCTGGAATTACAGGTGTGAGCCACTGCACCTGGCCAGGTTTTAAGCTTTTTAAGCAAGAGAGTTAACCTGATCTTTGTTGGTGAACCTACAGGCATCAGCTTTAGGAAATTACTTCATATTTCAGGAAAGCCATGGGAATGTTGGTCTGCAGTCTTCAGGGTTAGGGGAGTGGGTTCTAGAGAGCATCCTTCCCAGCACAGTGTGACTCTATGTATTGTCAGGGCATCGTGAACGAAGTACGCCAGTCCATGCAGCTGATGCTGAGCCAGCTGATCCAGCAACTGAGGACCAACATCCAGCTCCCCGCCTGCCTCCGTGTCATTGGCTACCTGCGGCGCATGGATGTCTTCACTGAGGCTGAGTTGAGGGTGAAGTTTCTTCAGGCCCGAGATGCTTGGCTCCGGTCCATCCTGACTGCCATTCCTAATGATGATCCCTATTTCCATATCACAAAAACCATCGAGGCCTGCCGTGTCCATCTCTTTGATATCATCACCCAGTACCGTGCCATCTTCTCAGATGAGGACCCACTGCTGCCCCCTGCCGTGGGTGAGCACACCGTGAATGAGAGTGCCATCTTCCATGGCTGGGTGCTACAGAAAGTCTCACAGTTCCTGCAGGTGCTGGAGACCGACCTTTACCGGGGCATAGGGGGCCGCCTGGACTCTCTGCTGGGCCAGTGCATGTACTTTGGGCTGTCCTTCAGCCGGGTGGGAGCTGATTTCCGCGGTCAGTTGGCTCCTGTTTTCCAGCGGGTGGCCATCAGCACTTTCCAGAAAGCAGTTCAGGAAACAGTGGAGAAATTCCAGGAAGAAATGAACTCCTACACACTCATCTCAGCTCCAGCCATCCTGGGAACCAGTAACATGCCTGCTGTTGTGCCAGCCACCCAGCCAGGGACGCTGCAGCCACCCATGGTGCTCCTAGATTTCCCACCCCTCGCCTGCTTCCTCAACAATATTCTGGTCGCCTTCAATGATCTGCGCCTCTGCTGCCCTGTGGCCCTGGCGCAGGATGTGACTGGGGCCTTGGAAGATGCCCTTGCCAAGGTGAGCACATTCTGTTGGTTTTCGGCTACTCTGGGCCTTCTCTGGTAATGGGTGGCCAGATTTTTGTAATAAACTCGTCTATTTGACAGTGGTGTCTGCTGACATGGAGAGGTTTAGTGTGGTGTTGGAGGTTCTCCTGGTTGAAAAGCTCTGGCCAGTTGCCCTTCATGGGACCTAGGACAGTCCATGAAGTGACTTGCCTATAGTAACAATTCAGTAATGCACGTATTAGCTTTCTAGTGCTGTGTAACAAATTCCTAGAAACTTAGCTTCCAGCAACACATTTATTACTTCCCAGTTTTGGTGGGTCAGGAGTCCAGTCTCAGCACAACTGGGTCCTCTCTGCTCAGGGTCTTACAGGGTTGCCATCAAGGTGTTGCCTGGCCTATGGTCTCATCTGGAGGTTGGGGCTCCATTTCAGACTCATTCAAGTTGGCAGGGGTCAGTTCCTTGCAATTGCAGAACTGAAGCTTTAGCTCCTAGAGGCTGTCTACTCCATAGGCAACTGACAACATGGCTGTTTGCTTCCTCAAAGCCAGCAGGAGAGCTTCTCTCTTGCTTGAGTCTCTTCTTTTAGGTACCTCCTTTCAAAAGATTCATTTGATTAAGTCAGACGATTAGGGACTTTAGTTACATCTGCAAAACCCTTCATCTTTAGCATATTTTTTTTTTATGTGTTTTATTTTATGGAGAGAGAGTGTCTCCTTATGTTGCCTAGGCTGGTCTCAAACTCCTGGACTCAAGTGATCCTCCTGCTTCAGCCCCTCAAAGTGTGAGATTACAGGTGTGAGTCACTTGAACCCAGGAAGTCCAGCACCAGAGTCTGTGTTCTTACCCTGTCGCTATGCCACATGTCTGTGTCAGCTAGGCTGCTCTGTTGGTTTTGAAACCTCTCTTTCCTAGCTGTTTTCTTCTAGTTTTCCAGTGGTTCTAGCTTTCTGGAACCTCAGGGGCCTTAGTGGAAACCTCATATAGTTTTGCTTCATTTTCCTGGATCTAGCACAGTTCTGGTTGGTCCTCTATGGAAGTTAAGAACCATGTATTGGGCCAAGCGCAGTGGCTCACACCTGAAATGCCAACACTTTGGGAGGCTGAAGCAGGAGGATCTCTTGAAGCCAGGAGCTCTAGACCAGCCTGGGCAACAAAACAAGACCCTGTCTCTACAAAAAATTTTAAAACTTAGCCAGGCGTGATGGTGCATGCCTGTAGCCCCAGCTACTTGGGAGGCTACGGTGGGAGTATTCCTTGAGCCCAGGAGTTTGAAGCTACAGTGAGCTATGATGGTGCCACTGCACTCCAGCATAGGTGACAGAGCAAAATTGTGTCTCTGGAGAAAAAAAAAACAAAACAAAACCATGTATTCTCTATAGTTTTATGACACTCCTCCACTAGAACTGGAAACTACACCCATAATGTAACAAGTTGGGTCTGAACTTCACATTAATAAAGTGACACAATTGTGGAGAATGACCATAATTTTGAGTTTAAATGAGACAGTAAAATAATGTACTGTTAAATTAGTTTGTTCAAGAAAACTTGAGGGGGGGTATACCTTTTTTTTGCCTAGTTTCATGCACTGCTGTCTCAGTGGTGATAGGCTGTCCCAGTGATTGATGGTGCCCTTGTCTCTTAGGTAACTAAAATAATCCTGGCCTTCCATCGCGCTGAAGAGACTGCCTTCAGCAGAGGGGAGCAAGAGCTCTTCGTCCAGTTCTGCACTGTCTTTCTGGAAGACCTTGTTCCATATTTAAATCGCTGTCTCCAAGTCCTTTTTCCACCAGCTCAGATAGCACAGACTTTAGGTAAGAAAGAAAATTTTGTAAACTGCCTTACTGATGTGTAATTCACATACTAAATAATTCACCCATTTGTGTAAGTCAGTGTTTAGTAAATATGAATCCAATTTTAGAATATTTCCATCACTCCAAAAAGATCCTTCATGCACATTTGTAGTCATTCCTCGACAGCATCCTTAGCCCCTGGCAACCTACTTTCTGTTGCCATAGATTTGCTTTTTGTGGACATTTCATAAAAATGGAATCATACATTATATGGCTGTATCTGGCTAAGTGGAAGAAGCCAGTCACAAAAGAACCACATACGTATGATTCCATTTATGTGAAATGTCTAGAGAAAGGGTTTTTAAAGTCTTTTTTTTTTTTTTTTTTTGAGGTGGAGTCTCGCTCTGTTGTCAGGCTGGAGTGCAGTGGCACAGTCTTGGCTCACTGCAACTTCCACCTCCCGGGTTCAAGCAATTCTCCTGCCTCAGCCTCCCAAGTAGCTGAGACTATAGGCTCGCACCACCACGCCCAGCTAATTTTTGTATTTTAGTAGAGAGGAGGTTTCACCACGTTGGCCAGGATGGTCTCGATATCTTGACTTGTGATCTGCCTGCCTCTGCCTCCCTAAGTGCTGGGATTACAGGTGTGAGCCATCGCGCCCGTCCTAAAGTCTTTTTTCCAATTCACTTTCATGTCCTTGTCCCCTTGTGATGGGAGAAGGGCTTGGTTGAGGCGCAGCTTCCCAAAGGGCAATGGGTCAGTGCATCACACCTGCAAAGCCTGGCTGCCCTCCGCTTTTCCCCTGGGGCTCCCTGAGGTCTGGATTCCTGCTGCAGGCGCCCAACAGTGCTGCTCCATTACCTTCTGCTTCACAGTATAGCTTCCTGTTCCCTATGACAAAGGTGGTTTTTGCTGTATTGAAATACAGTAATTGATGACTGGGCGCAGTGGTTCATGCCTGTAATCCCAGCACTTTGGGAGGCCGAGGCGGATGGATCACTTGAGGTCGGGAGTTTGAGACCAGCCTGGCCAACATAGTAAAACCCTGTCTCTACTAAAAATACAAAAATTAGCCTGGCTTAGTGGCGGGCGCCTGTGATCCCAGCTACCACGGAGGCTGAGGCATGAGACCTGCTTGAACCTGGGAGGCAGAGGTTGCAGTGAGCAGCGATCATGCCACTGCACTCCAGCCTGGGTGACGGAGCGAGGCTGTCTCAAAAAAAAAAATAGTAATTGCTTCTGTTTTTTCTCCTTAAACTTCTATATTGAATTTTATTAATAACTTTTTTCCATTTTGCTTTCCCCACGTCTGGGGCAGGCATTCCTCCCACTCAGCTCTCCAAGTATGGAAACCTCGGGCATGTGAACATCGGCGCCATTCAAGAGCCCCTCGTCTTTATCCTGCCAAAGAGAGAGACGCTCTTCACCCTGGATGACCAGGCGCTGGGGCCTGAGCTCACAGCTCCAGCACCAGAGCCTCCCTCCGAGGAGCCACGCCTGGATCCCGCGGGCCCAGCCTGCCCGGAGGGAGGGCGATCGGAGGTGGACGCGGAACCGCCCAGCGTGGGGCCCTAGCCGGCGTCCCCAGCCTCCAGAACGCGGTGCGTGCGGTACCCGGCGCGGGGCTGGGGGACAAGGTTGCGTCGCCCTGGAAGGCCCAGAGCGGGCTCGGGAGGGAGGAAGACGCTCCCGGCAGGAGAGCGGAAGGGGGCGGTGTTCACTCCCGGTCTGGGCAGGAAGTGGGGGATCCAGCCGCTTCCTTGCTGTGCGCTGGCTGACGGTGCTTCCCGGCGTGCCCTGTGCTGCGGCCGGAAGGGGCGGGCCGGGTTACTGCTGCAGGGGCCGCCATGGCCCGGCTGTGGGGCGCGCTGAGCCTGAGGCCGCTCTGGGCGGCGGTGCCGTGGGTGGGGGCGGCAGCCGTCGGTACCCGGGCCTGCAACTCCACGGCCGCCCCGGACGGCGTCGAGTGCCCTGCGCTCCGGCGCTCCTACTGGCGCCACCTGAGGCGCCTGGTACTGGGTCCTCCCGAACCGCCGTTCCCGCACGTGTGCCAGGTCGGGGACCCGGTGCTGCGGGGCGTGGCGGCCCCGGTAGAGTGGGCGCAGCTGGGTGGGCCCGAGTTGCAGCGGCTGACGCAGCGGCTGGTCCAGGTGATGCGGCGGCGGCGCTGCGTGGGCCTAAGCGCGCCGCAGCTGGGGGTGCCGCTGCAGGTGCTGGCGCTGGAGCTGCCCGAGGCGCTGTGTCGCGAGTGCCCGCCGCGCCAGCGCGCGCTTCGACAGATGGAGCCCTTCCCCCTGCGCGTGTTCGTGAACCCCAGCCTGCGGGTGCTGGACAGCCGTCTGGTCACCTTCCCCGAGGGCTGCGAGAGCGTCGCCGGCTTCCTGGCCTGCGTGCCCCGCTTCCAGGCGGTGCAGATCTCAGGTGCGGGCGGCGGGGCCGGGGCGGCTGGAGCAGCGCGCGAGTCTTTTCCGCCCAACTCTGGCGAGAGCGCGGAAGTGGTCGCGGTTCATCTGCCGTACCTCCCGCAGGAACGAAGTGGGACGCGGGAGCGTACAGGTCTCAGGACGGATAGAAGCTCTTGTGGGGCAGAGCCCGCTCAGATAGGACGCGGGGGCGAGGAGGGGTCTCCTAATTCCTGACAGCCTGGCGTCTTTCTGTTCCCTTGCTTTCTGAAGCAAACACTCTCTTCGGCGCTAGTTAGATCCGCCACGGTGGAGTTGGAGAAGTGGGGATTGGCCCCCCAGCCTGGCCCAGCCCGGGGGGCTAAGCCATTCCCCGCGTGATACCACAGGATGTCTCGCGGAATGCGGGCTCTGCTGGGGTCAGGGTGATTGTTCCTGCAGAGCAAGCTCGTCGGTTGAAGAGGGTCAGAAAAACAGTGGGGTCTTAAGCTGCAGAACGTCTGTTAGGAGTTGAGAGCCCACGGATACCTCAGAAACGGGAGGAGAGTTCGGAAGGGTCGCACCGTAGGAAGATGATTTCTCATCTCAGCTCTACAGTGAGCTCCATAACCTAATTACCAGAGTTGGGAACCAGGTTGAACACTTAGTAATGGGCCGATGTGAGGCACGTTTTCCAGTTAGGAGAGGAGCTGCTGTCTACATTTGCCGTCTGCTGTTGCCTCTTGTCAGTGGAAACAGCCAGGTGCAGGGGTGAGGAGGTTGGGGATGATGCAGTTCAGCTGTTCCCACTCACCAGGGCTGTAACTTGCTTTGCAGGGCTGGACCCCAATGGAGAACAGGTGGCGTGGCAGGCGAGCGGGTGGGCAGCCCGCATCATCCAGCACGAGATGGACCACCTGCAGGGCTGCCTGTTTATTGACAAAATGGACAGCAGGACATTCACAAACGTGTGTTGGATGGAGGTGAATGACTAAAGCTTTGCTACTGGGGCTGAGGATTCCGGATACCAAGACGCACACTCTTCCACTTTGAGCTGGGCACATCTTACTTCGCATCAACTTGGATGGCTTGCATATGACAGGAAACTTGACTGCCAAGGCATGGCAGACTGAGCTGGAGGAAGATGTCAGAAATGTTTGCCCTGAAATCAGCTATGAACGGAATGTTGTTTACAACTTGAGGAGAAAAATCACCCCCAAAGGAGTGGACGTTTCCTGACAATTCTGTATGGAGGAAGGTGGGGTAACTGCATTCGTCTGCAGTAGACACGAGTTCCTCGGACCTGTATAATCTCCCAAAGCCAAGGTTTGGTAATAATGTAGCCCCTAAATATCTGAAAGCTGTCTTTAAAAATGCAGGTAAGCGTGTGATTGGCCATTTGTGCCGAGTTCTTATTTTTACACAGGGCTTGTGGCCTTGGACGCCAGTTTGCTTATGGAAATGAAACAGGACAGAATCGTCCCTGCTCAAGGGAAGTGTTTAATGACAGCACGAGTGTAAATGAGTGCCCACACATTTTAACAGCCTTGGGCAGGATTTTGCTGCTGACATCTCTAGAGCAGCTGGTTCTTGGCTCATTCTTGGGTTAGAGGCCATGGATCAGGGCTAGGGGCAGGGGTGACAATTGAGAAGTGCAGTGGGCTTCCTTTAAAAATTGGGACAGACACAGAAAGCAGGACTAGTACTTCCTGGTTATACATTTTTTTTTGTAAAAATGAATTAACGTCTCACCAACCAGTGTGTAGATTTCAGTGTCTGCCAGGCGAGGTGGGTCAAGCCTGTAATCCCAGCACTTTGGGAGGGCGGGGCGGGTGAATCACGAGGTCAGGAGTTCAAGAACAGCCTGGCCAAGATGGTGAAACCCTGTCTCTACTAAAAATACA